ACCTCGGGGATGTAGAGGACATTGTTAGTGCGCCTGAGCTACGTTGCATTCGAGACTTCGACTGCCACACGGCGTCCCCGGAGAGCCGCGCTCCCGTTTGTCTGATCTATCCGCCTCGCTATCGGAATTGATCCTCGTTTAGTGTCGTTGGGGGAGTAATGATCCCACGTCGCGCGGCAGGAATGAACTCCGCTATTCTAAGCGCACCGCGTCCTCGTGACGGCCCGAAGCACAAACCTTTTCCCTTTTCTGCCGCAGTGCAGAGCCTCTCGCTCTGGAAGCGCAAAAGTGAATCGCATGAAGCCGAGACGTGGCGAGCCGCCGAGCGAGGGCGGCGGACTTCTGATGCCTGAGACCTCAGCTAACCTCTCCTCCTCTGCCACCTTCCTTTTTCTCACGCAGACAGATAAGTAGGCATGCCAGAGACGACTAATCCTCCGACAGGAAGAGACGATTCGGGTGGTACGACGCCGTGCGTTTGAAGCTGACAAGGGAGGGAGGGAGGGCAGGAGGGAGGCAAAAAGGGGAGGCAAGTAAGGTGAGGACGGAGCTGGATGAATTCATGAGGGAAAAGGGGATTTCAGGTGACATATTTTGGAAAGCTTGCTTTTGGTTTCCAGTTAATTTGATCACTCTTCTTGCATTTTCTTTTGCACCCTCCTCCTTCTCTCTCTCTCTCTCTCTCTCACGCGCTCTCCCTCTCTCGCCGCCATCCCTCACCCTCTTCCACTCTCTGCTCGTCTGGCGGAGGCTGATGTAGGTCAGTGCGTCTAGAGCCTGTCTGGAGCTGCAGAGGGGTCTCCGAGCTCCACGGCTGAGCCTCGTCGAGCCCCGCTGGCGGCTGGGCGAGCTGAGGACACCGCTCGCTCCCTGGGCTACGTGAGGACAGACGCGCCATTCCCCTGACCTGACTTGCCCGGAGGATGCTATGCTTGTTTAAAGGGGAGGAGGAAGGGGGAGAGGGGATGCGAGGTTATACGTCTGTACATTCCAAAGCTCGGTCAACGTACTGTATGTCGTTTGCTTGCGGCGCTCAAATTGAAAGTCAGGAGACAAAAAGGTAGAAATGCAGAGAGGGAGATTGCAGGGAGATAAGCGATGCAATCCGTGCAGATAGGCAGCAATAGAATTTTGGGTTTTTTTTGTAAGGGTGGGGGGGGGGGGG